GTAAAATTTCACTGCGAGTCATTCTCCCTACAAGAATGCTGTCAGAAAAACATCAAAACTCAAATCTGTCGTCTTGCTTGGTTGAAAAAAATGGCCCACAAACAATGGAAATGTATTCCAAGTTTTTCTCGCGTTGGAACCTTGCACTGGCAATAGACTTGTTGGAGAACTCTAAATTTGGAACCACCCGTTGAAGCAGGCCTACTGACGATGAATATGATCCTTGCCGCTCTGCCTAATATCCACTTAGTGAGCTCTGCCTAATATTGATCTTAGATACCATTTCTAACGGTCAGTAAACGTCGGGGTAACAACTAGTCTGGGTGCTCTCATATGTCAGCTTCAGGTTACAATTACAGACGATATCAACGTTGGAATGCCAAGCTCCTCGAATTTTGTGGCGTTACAACCATAAGCCGTCATGAAGCGCATAGCGTGAGAAATCACACGAGACAGTGATTGACTACCTGCCACTAATTTAAAGCTGAATTTGTCTTCCCTGATCTTAGGTTAAAGTCGCAACACTAATAGATCTTTATGCAGGTGTGCGGACAGTTAGGTAGATTGCAGTTGCCGGTAACTGTTCTCATCGTCGAGATGCATGCAGTCAGCGTAAGACATTATCACCAACCTTGGCGATTCTGTGCTAACTGCTGAATTTTGACAGTAGATAACCTAAGTTTGCAGCAGAATTTGTCAGGGTACTTGCCTCAGTTTATTTTTCCCCCTTTCCGGGGTCTTTTACTGGTCGGTCGAGTAAGTGGTAGCTGATTCAGCATCCTTTCTGGAAGCACTAGCAAACGGTCTGCAGTAACCGGTTTGAAATTGGCTGTCAGTTCAAAGAAAATTGCGAATGACTGTCTAACTGGGCGCCATTCCATTCATACGCTAAGATGCACAGGATTATAGCGAAACAGCTTCTATTACAATAACATTCAAGGTCGCCACCCAAAGTGGCGAACGTGAATTTTGAATGCTGATGCTCGATGCAATATTAGTTACAGTGCAGCCTTCAATAGAGCATTTAACCACACAGCGCAATTTTCAGCTATAATCGTCATAGAACCCAGGCCATGCACAAAAAAACGTTACAGAGACTTTAACCATGGTATTGTTGATTGTGATAATGATAATTCAGTTTGTATTCCTTGATGTTTGTCTTCCCTGGAAGCAGTAGAATAGAGCGTAGATGCGGGATCCGTTGAAATCAGTAGCACGACAGCGCTGATCTGCGTATCCGTAGCTGAGGGTAGTTCTGACTGTCTTCTGATATTCATACAGCTGGAACACTAGCTAATGTGCGTGCCGATACGTAGCTGCCAGGTTACTCAGCTTCGTCTCACGTTCTTTCTATACCTTCTGCCTTGGAGGATCAACCGTTTTGAGGGCAAGTAACTTTTTACGTCGTTTCTGTATTTGACGTTACCGATATGGTGCCATGAGACGGCACACAGCTGAACACTGTGACAGAGCTTGAATCGCATATGACATTTCTCAGCATCTGATGAGGTTAGCCTATGATCAAGAGACTATCCACCAAGACTTTTATCGCTTTGCTTCCACAAATTCCAGCGGTTGTCTAAGCCATACTACAATGCACCATTCAAGAAGGAAGGCTGAAAAAGCGCCGAAGGATGTGTTTGATAAAGTTCAATTTCCCCTGGATCGAAGAAAGAATCCGATACATTAGCCCTGTAGCAAAATGCCGCCTTCTGCGAAAAAACATTTTCCTTGAAGTAGCTGGATTGAGTGATAACCTTACGGCCCAGTTGGCCAGAAGCGTTGATGTCATTTATTATGATTATGGTTTTGATGGTGATTTGGAAATAAAAGATAATACTTTTATCTTATTGTTTTCAAAATGCCCTCTAGTACGAGATTTGGAGATATCCTTCCAATGCAGTCCTCGCCTTTATGCCAGATTTCTTTCTCCCGAAGTACTTTTAGGCATAAAATATAGCATTCGTGATGTTTCGTCTAGATTTTTATTTCACCGCGTCACCAGTTAAATATAAGTCTATATCTTCACCGTATTTACTGCCGCATTTTAGGCTACATTCCTTATTCTTGACAATCGAATGCGTTCTTTTTTCTCTATTCGTTGTAGCCGTTTGCTGTGACCAGGTAGGCATGCCGTACTTTGAAGGTATATCGTTTATTATACGTTTAGTCGAACGTTGCAGTTTTTTGCCAGTTTTTGATCTATGATTTGGCATAATGCTGAATGACTCGAAGGGAAAGTTTTTAGTTTTCTTCTAGGCGTTATGTAAAAATGGATTAATAATATAGTTTGTTATTTGTTCGATCATTTTTAATTCCGACTATACCTTGCAGGTCACCATGGCAACTGCTTCAGAAGATTTTTCTAGGGTTCTGGTTCGACGTCAGATGGACGAACTCATTAATCTAGACTGGAAGGCGCCACAGTGCCATTGTCAATATCTTCTACAAAATTGAACCGTCTGCTCTGCGATTTGCCCATCATTGGTCATCTGTGGCATTTCTAAGAGAGTTAGCCTTACGAAGCTGGCCGTGGCATGTTTTGCGCATGTCCTTGCCATCGCGGTTGTAATTCTTGACCTAAACAAAACACGCTCACTGTTGAGAGCATCTACAGTTACATAATCGAATCTCGCCACTACAGCAATTCTTCGAGTAAAGTTCATGCCCAGAGATGAGGACAGATATATGGGTAGAGACAAATAACTTAAAACTACTACTCAACTCCTTCACCACAGACCGGTTCAGATGCTCTATTGCAGTACTTTTCTGGCTGATCCTTCGTCACGCCCTGCGTACCATCACTTTTGGGTGCTGTTCAGTGATAGATAAATTTTTTTCCTGCTCTAGCTGCGCTCCTTTTACTTAGAGAACTCATTGACTGGCCTTTCTTGAGAGTACAAAAGCCTCGATTTTCGTCAGACAGATTTTCATCTTGACCTCATCGCATGTGCTGTCGAAGCGATCACGGGTAGGTTGAGG